TAACACGTATGGTCCCGTGAAAGTTTTTTACGGGTAAATTAATATCTCGGGAACCACGGAGTCTAGGAGGCTGGAATTTTAGAATAATGACCCACCGCACACGCTCAGCCTTGCCCATTCAAATTCAGCTTTCCTCCACTCTCGGGTATCACGTGCGGGCTAGTGAAAGTTTTTACGGGTAAATTATTATCTCGGGAACCACGGGGTTTAGGGAGCTGAAATCTTAGGGCAGTGACCCCCTGCTCATTCTGAACCTTACCTATTCAAATTCAGCTTTCTCTCGCTGTTGAGTATCACATACGGCCTCGTGAGAATTTTGGCGGGTAAACTATTAACTCAGGATAAAGATATTCATCCTTCAAGGTTTCCAATTCAGCTTTCATGCGCTGGTGCGTGAAATTTTTAACTCTTTTTCAATGTTTGAACTATTTTTGCATAAACTAAAGTACAAAGCAGTGAAAATCATTAATAGGCAATCGTTCTATGGGCTGAATTGCACAAATCGCATGATCTTACCGGCCAGTCTTGTGCGCGTTGCTATTTCTTTGTACTAATTCAGATTTTTTTTTTTTGCTGAGAAATGCAGGAAGTGGTAAATTCTTCCCAATTCAGGATGGTACGAGGTGGTGTGAAATGTCCGGAACCTATCCGGCTCAGAAAACATATCATGATCATGTCGTTTATTGGCTCAGATGGTATTGCGGCACGTAAATTAAAGGACGTGGAATGGAACGATCCCGAAATTATACATGATGCATTCCTGCAAGTGAAAACAGTTCGTGCCTTTTTTTTCTTCTGCATTTTCTTCGAAGAATTGAAATTGTTTCGTGGTTTTGCCGATGCTACAGTAAGGCATTCCTGTAGTTTTCCCCCTTGATTTGCCTATCCGCTATAAGTCTCTTGGGTAAACACGATTTCTTAAATCTTCCTTTCTCGACTGGAAGCTGCTGGGACTTGTTAGTTTTGTCCGAAGTTTCTGTCCTCCCTTGCCCCCACGAACGGGAAAATGGTTGTTAGCAATATCATCCCAATCGGTTCTTAACGATTTTACAATTGTCTGATTTGTGTTGGGCCGAGTTTTAATCCTTTTCCTTTCCTTTTCCTCCTTTTCTTTGTTTTCTTCTTTTCTTGATATTTTCTCTTCAACCTTTAATGGCGTGATCCAGCGCGGAGGGAGGGAAAGGGGTGGGG